GTCTGCTCTGCAAACTAGTGTGCTTTACCCCCCAACCTAGCAAAGTACTGAAAACGATATCGGCATCAGAAGAAAAGAATCCAAAGAGGCAAAAAAATCTTATTTCGACATCTTTTTTCTCTCCAAATTTTACTATTTTAAATTGGTAATTTTTATTCAACAAGCTCGACAACGAACAGAACAACTTATTAGACTCTTATGGTTGTAATGGCGTTGTTTGTGCTTGTTCCCTTCGTTCTACCGACTTTTTAACGCCAATTTTTCAGAAGTCTGCAGAGCAAAATTTTGATGCTGCGAAATCTGTCGCCTTGCCTACCTAAGCTGTGTGTTCTCCAAACATTGAGATTTTTGAGTAGCTAACTTATAAATTTAATGATTTTATAGGCAAATACGATCCCTACTGCTTTTTCTAGGTTTACCTTCCTCTTTCAGGACTGCCTTCAGATCCTAACGTCAACACGTAAAGACGTTAAAAAGAAGATTTTCTCCGAGTTTTAATAAAAGTCTATTGAAACTTTTCTGCATTTTTGAATCTCTGCAGAAGCTACAGCAGTCTTTCCTTGTGCTCAGCAGATTTTTCGAGCGTTTTGTAAGCATTTTGACCCAAACGAGGGTAGCTTAAATTAGTTGGCGAAAATGGATTTTTTTCCTCCTTGGTTTTCCAAACTCAATACTCAGAAACTTTTTAAATCAAACGCGATAAAAGAAATTAAAGTGAGGATTCTGGTAGAGTAGACTCAAAGCTTTAAAATGCATATATATATTTTGCAAAACACCATGCAAAATACTGCGAAAAAATCGAAAGAAAAAATGGGACAGAACTTAGTACACAACCTAATACATGCATCGCAAACTATAATATTTACGCCATTTCGACCTGGAATCTAAGTTAGACCTATAACCAGGCAGTGAACTGTCTGTGCAGTTGATTGGCTGGTCTCTCTTAGCTCAACTTGCATCAATTTGGAAGCTTTGCCACAGGGTTTGACCGACGAAGCTCGTTACGAAGTTTATTCGAAGCCGTTAGCCTAATTTACAATATAAGTTCTTCACTATATGCTTTACGCTAGTAACGGTCTGCTATTCTACAGGGTGTCCCAAAAGTCTTTAAGCCTAGTATTTCCTCAGCTGCAACTGTACGAAGCAACAAAGTCACATGAAATTTAGCAGGAATCTTGTGAAGAACCTACAAAATAACAAGGTACACTCAGTTTTTGACAATCCCTTATTCGGCCTTCACACAAGCTCTCACACTCTTGCGCGACGCATGCACCGTGGCAGACAGATAGTTGACGTCGAGAATGTCTCACATCTTCTGCAGCAAGCGTTCCAGACTGCCCAAAATTGAGTGTGGAACAGAGCAAGCCTTGCTCTCCATGACTGATCACAAAGAAAAGTTAAAAGCTCTCAGACCGGCGATTAAAAGCTCTGAGAAGCACGTCTGTGAGATTTACCAAATGTGTCAAAATGCAGAAATCAAGTTTTTGATAACATCAAAAAAAAACAGCAATTTTGGTGTGCATGGAATGACTTTAGAATGATATTTCAGTAATTTTTGCAGAGCTTACAGCTAGAATTAGTGGCTCCGCAAGAGCTTCGAAGGCAAAAGAGCTATAGATGTTTGAGTAAAGGGTAAGTTAACATTGGGTCGTCCTCAAAATCGTAGTACTGTTTGCTCCAAAAACAATATTTTGAGAATGTACAGCGCAAACGGCATGATTTTCTTGAGAAATACTAAAAACTAGACGAAGTACTCGTAGGCAAAATTTAACTGAAGAGCGAAGAATACTAACAAAGTTACTACGTTGGGAAGTTAGGCTCAAAGACTTTTGGGACTCCCTGTACAAAAAGATACCGAAGGATTTTCTAGGCATTCACTCTAACCAAACCTGCAAGCTTTCTTCAAAGTACATCGATGGATTAAATCACATGGCTATCGCAACTATTGTTTCAATAATTAACTAGGCGCACGTTGCTTATTTGGTTTGATGAGAGGTAGGCTTCGGAGCGTCTAAATAGCTTGAAAGCAGGATGGTTGTCTTTCGGCAGCTTTTTTGATACAAGCAACACTTTTGTTCACTAAAGAAGATATGTTGTTCAGAATCTCAAACCTGAGCACGATGATGACGTAAAAATTTTATATCGGAGATTTGACTAGTCAAGCTGGCCTATTTCTGCTCCTCACAGTGGGTAACATGTCAAATGTTTATTTTTCCACATGAAATTCGCGCGCTTGCGGAAGAACACGTTCAACTCTTAAAATCTGACTTGTTCGTCATTTTTTTAAGCGCTTCCTTCAGGGCCTTATAAAAACGATATTCCGCTGCTTCTAACTTCAAACGAAGTCCAATTTCACCCCAGACCATCTGTGCCGGGCCCTGTGACTTACTCCTCTGTATCAATTTTCACCGTTCCAGCTCTAATTTCGCTGAAAATCAGGAATATAAACTGATCGTTAAGAAATAACTCTATGAGAGTGAATGTGCGCAAATTCTGGGCGGATGGTTCAGAAAACGAATATTCTATTCAAAACATACGTACACAGACACACAAACATGACACATGGACATATGGAAAGTCATTTTGCAAATCGTGCGCACAAATGCGGGACTACCACAGGAGTAACATATTAGGTCGTTCCGAAAGTAATGTCGTTTTTTTTCGAATAAACGCCACATTTCATGGAATCAAGGTTTTCAAGGAATCTTAGGAGCATTCGATGCAGCATTTCATCCTCTTTCTAAAGGTTGTAATTTCATTGCATAATTTTCATTGAGCTTTCGAAAAATTAACAAAATCTGCTACATATGCTTTTTGCCATGGTCAAGTTCGGCAATTTTTTAAAATTTTTGTATCTATTCCCCGAAGAAGTACAAATGACAGATAGATATAGCAAACCCTATAGGACACAGAGTAATTTTTTCTTTTCCTTAGCTTGCTTCTTAGAGTTTCTGGAATCAGTTTTAAAATGCCATCAAATTCCATATTTGGTCAACTCAAACCTCACAGAACAACAACCGGCAAGCAACTCGGGTGTCATTCGACGCAGCTTTTTCTTCTCTTTTTACCAGTTGTTTTTGATTTCCGATTCATCAAGTTTTCCGAGATAAAATCATCATAATTCAGGTTTACCAAGGCGCCTCCGGCAGTACCCGGATTTTTCGAAAGTTGCTAATCTGAAGCGGTAAACGCTCATTTGCTTTGTAATAGTGTAAAACCATAATCCATTTTTGTAAGTTTCAAAATCCGACGATTTATTGGTGTTTGATGCATTTGTATCTGAGACGAGCCTGCTAAAATTCGGTGGTTCCATCAAAAAATCTCTACAGAAATTATGACGAGCTCTGAAAAGTAGAAAAAAGTTGTGCTTTTTCCTGTAGGGTTTGCTCAATCCATCCATTACTTGGACTCCTTCTGAGGTTTGTTATAAAATTTTAGAAAAATTGTGAAACTTGGCCATCTCAAAAAGCATAGGTCGCAGATTTTGACTGTTTTCTGGAAGCTCATTGATTATATTGCAACAACTTCATAACCATTAGAAAGAGGATGAAATGCTGCATCAATTGCTTCCAGAATCTCTTACACGTCTTTGTTCCACGAAATGTGGCGCACGTTTGAAAAAAGCGACATTACTTTCGGAACGACCTAATATATGCAAGATACAAACACCCTGCTTTCTAATCATCTCATCCCGGCCAAAAAGCGCATGAGATTTTATTGTAGTCTGTAGGTATATCACTTGTTCAACTACGATTATAGTAATACGATAATTCTTTAACTATTTTCAGATTGCAGAATTTTCCTAAGCGTTCAAGGTTTACCCACACAATATAGAAAATCATACACAATATGGAAAATCTATATGTTACCGCTTAGAACCTAAGGAGTGGATGCATCGCCAGGGCTAGCAAGGCAAAGCCGTTTTAGGAACTTGACGACATAAAACCGAGATACCTTTTGATTCAACGGGATTGGCGACTGGAACGCGGTCGCCCACACCCGCGGCGCGGTCTGCGTCTCTACCACGGGTGTGCTCTCTAGTCATTCCCTGCCTTGACTAGTTCTCAAAGCCTGGCCATCCACCCGCCTATCCCGTTGAATCAAATGGTATGTGTCCTCTAATTTTGAATAAAAAGAACTCATATAAGAGCAAGATGTATAGTGGTTGTTTTTCGAGCGCTAATTTTGAGCTGAATTTTCCGAAGCGTTGTTCCCGCTTTAGAGCGATAATTATGTAGCCACCGAGTGTGTCAACTAACGTCCACGCAGTTTGATTTTAGACAACCACAGCAAATCTACGACTGATGCTAGCACAAGTGACGACGAAAGCAAGCGCAATTACCCAGAAAATGTGAGTTTGCGAATTCCACCAGTAATCAGTGCATATGCGCAGCAGCGTATGTTTTTGAAAATATTTTTATGTTGATGCAAAGAAAATAAAGGATTTGAACGCATATTATCTTTTGGCTATGAACAATCTCTTGAATGGGAAGAAACAATGAAATTTTGAGCATCGTACATTGAAAAGAATGATTGAAAATGTACCATTTGATTCAACTGGCTCGGCATCGGCAAAGGCGGGCTTCGTGACCTAATTAAGGCTAGGTAATGATCAGAGAGCACTCGCGCGAGAGAGACACAGGTGCGTTGCGGGCGCGAACGGCCTCAATTAGATCACGAAACCCCGCCCTAATGGTGCCAAGCCAGTTGAATCAAAGGTTATGTAGATAGTCAAAAACTCACAAGTACAGTCTTTTTGAGATTACGTCTACGGATTTTATTGCTAGCCTCTGCTCCCAAATGTCGGTGAAAAATCTGAAGCAGGGTTTAGAGAACATTACTATTATATGTTTTGATTGTTACAGCTTTCGGGATTCAATGATTTACCCATATTTCGACGTAAGCCGGAAACGAAACATTTATCGTGTGGACGAGTACTTAATGGAGACGAGGTATGTGAAATTATACGCTAACATTTTACTTACATATACATAATTTAGATGTATATCAAGAATATCACCCGCAAGCGTATAAAGCTACAAAAGCGCGAGCTAAACATGTCCTGCAGTGAAGTGAAAGCCCGCATACTACCTCCAAAAGGTCTGAAGAAATTGAAGTTTGGTGTGGCTTATGCTCGCATTGTCTATGAGGTATGTCATTTCAAAATTGTAAGTGGGTTATGCCAAACTTTAGCACATTGTATCTGAGTTGATAAACTGAAAAATTTATCCATCATTCAAAATCAAGGCCCTATGCACGTACATCGTCGCTGGGGGAAGGGCGAAGGGGAGGAGGGTGGGGGGGAGGGGAGGGGGGGGGGGAGGAGACGATCTGAGAGGGAACCGGTCATACCTCGCTATGGTAGAAAATCGCCATACAAGCTCCAATGTTCAGAACTTCAATTTACATGTGATCCCCTAAGGATCCCCAGGGATAGCACCTTGTTTTTAAAGTCGTCTATCTCTCCAGGAAGTATGAAAACGTCTTAGAGCCGCATGCATTAACATGCCCGCGGGGGAATCGCAGCTTACAAAAAAAGCTTCATATCCAAAGCTCCAGATATCTAGATTTCACGCTGTCTACCCATCTGTAAGTATTCCTAACATCCTTCACTATGAACATATTGAAAGGGAGTAAGAATCTGTACAAGCTATATTTCCATCATTTTGTATGATCCCCTCATGACCCCGGCGGCAGACCGTCTTTTTTTGAAGTCATTTTTCTTTCTTCGAAGTTAACAAAAACATTCCAAAGTTGTGCTGTTTATTTAACCAGCAGTGCTAATCATGTTTCTGGTAAGAACAAGTGACGTTTCGAAAAAGAAAGAAAAATTCGATATTTCAAAAACATCTGTTCATATCGGCAACATGCTTAGCACTGCTGGGTTAGACGAATAATAGTGCTTTAAGAGGTTCTCGTTAACTTTGAAGAAAGAAAAACGACTTTGAAGAAAAGACTGTCGACCACCGGGGTCATCAGGGGATCACAAAAAAGCTGGAAAATGTGGCTTGTACAACTTATTGTGTTCAATATGTTCATAGTAAATGATGGTGAGAATACCTGAGGATAGTTTATAAGGCGCGAGATCCAGATATCTGGAGCTTTAGATGGAACTTTTTTAGGTACGAACCCCTCCCCGGCGGAGATGTTAATGGGCTCTAAGGGCCGCATGCACTAACAACCCCGCTGGAGAGGCTGGGGAGGAAATCGCAGCTTCAGAAAAGCTTCATATCCTTAAGCTCCAGAAATCTGGATTTCACGCTGTCTATCTATTCGTAAGTATTTCCACCATCCTTCACTATGAACATCATGAAAGGGAGCAAGAAGCTGTACAAGCCGCATTTCCCAGCTTTTGTATGATCCCTGACGATCCCCAGCGCTTTTCTTTTAAGCCATTTTTCTTTTTTTAAAGCTAACGAAAACTTTCCAAAGTTGTACTGATTATCTAACATAACATTGCCAAGCATGTTACTAATGAGAACAAATGAGTTTTTAAAAAATCGAATTTTTCGATAAAACACAACTTTCGACTTGTGGTTCATCTCAAATTTCATGACTCCGATACATCACTTGTTCTCATTAGCAACATGCTAAGCAGTGTTGGGTTAGATAATCTGCACAACTTTGGAAACTTTTCGTTAACATTGGGGAAGGAAAAATGACTCCAAAGGAAAGCACCGAGGATCATCAGGGATCATACAAATGCTGGAAACTGCGGCTTGTACAGCTTCTCGTTGCTGTTCAATGTGTTCATAGTAAAGGATAGTAGGAATACTTACGGTTACGCACACAACTTGAAATCCAGAGATCTGGAGCTTTAGGATTTGAAGCTTTCTTTTGGGCTGCGATCCCCTCGCCGCGGGGATGTTAGTGCATGCGGCCCTAAGCCAAATGAATTATTTATATCACATTTTAGTTCTACTGAGGATTTACTATGGCACTGCTAGGGAAGTCTTCGGCAAAACAAGAATTACTCAGATAATGTTTTTTCGATGAACCTCAGCTCGCAAACAGCGCTTCATCGATATTTCGACCTCCTGAAATTTCACTATTTTCTACCATAGGCATACTTGGCAGTGCCATGATATATTGTATGTACGACTCAGTTGTTAGAGCATGTAAAATTCCATAAGATAGATAGAAAAAGAATGAACCCTGATTAGAGAAGCGAGGTATGACGCATATCCTCTCAGATCTTCTCCCTTCCCAGCGTAGATGCACGTGCATACGGGCCTAAAAGCAGTTACAACCGGCGTGAGCTACGAGTTTTTACAGAGCTACGAGTTTATCGAAGACGAAATCAGATCCAGCTTTCACCCGCAGAATTTTTTCTGTTTCTCGGTGGATTCAAAAGCAGAAGATGATTTGTACTCCAAGATTGTTGCGCTTTCGATATGTCTGCCCAACGTTTTGATATCTTCAAGTGGGTTTCATTGCATAATAGAATATCAAGCACCGGTGTCAACTGCTCTTTATGGAAAATCCCACATCTAACGAAAAGATGTAAATCTCCTAGCCATCTTGCATGACATAGGACACAATCAACTGGGCAGTAGTGATAGGTTCAGCATGTCGATTGTTTACGTTTGTGCATACAACTGTCAGAAAAACACTATCTCGTCTGTCGTATTGAATTCGCCCACTTCGGACTTTGCTGTTTAATCTACAACATTACAAATCCTGTTTTATCCTTCAGCAATAGTAAGCTTGGTGAAAATAATTTTGTAAAACAATTCTGACCAGATGTTGAAGGTGATTACTATTCTTATAATTGGACAAAGAAACTTAAACTCAACAATATTATCTTTCCAGACTTTCTCAAACGCAAATTTTCCAGCGCGCTATCCTATAAGTGGCGGAGGATACAACATGAATCGAGCTCATTACGACTGCCTAAAGCTCCTCTCTAAGTTTGAAGGTTGGCAATACGCTATACTGCTTCAGGTCTGTACCACGCGGCAAAAGTGTATATAGAAAAAGCAAATGTACCAAAGTGTTGGTTGCAGAATTACGACATGATGATTAAGTCTGTGTATGAGACTGTCTTGATTCTGGAAAAGCTTAACGGTGCAAATGATATTTGCACTAGACCATGCGAACTCAATAGGTGGGATCACACAGCGAAATGGGATGCACGTTCACTCAAACTCTTTCGCAACGGTAACCTTCAGTGGCATAGTGTCGTTCCAGTAAATGCTTAATCTCAGACCACTTAGAGTCACAAGCAACAGCCACACAGCTAGCAGCCAATCTAACAATGATGCGAGAAATGGTCCAATCTTCAATAAGCAGAGCCGCTGTCGATTGGGCTGTCAATACCGTTGACTTGACCACGCTCATCAGCCAAATAAATACCTGCGTCAGTTGTTGCAAAACATTTGGTTTTGATTTAATTCGTTCCGAAACCGCAACTGTGGGCGCCCATCTGTAATGCGTAAATCGTTCTTCAAAGAGGAAGAAAAGTCGTATGTTCAACAAATTTAACCTCTCGTCATTTTAACTTAATATGTGAGACTGCACACTAAGCCCTACTAGCGACGGCACCCTCACTGGTGACTTTTCAGTAAAACATTTTCTAGCATAACAAATTAGAAATGTGTTCTATCGACTAACATGTAATCAACAAAAACAAAAGAGACAAGGAAACAAGCAGAAATCACTGGAAATGAGCAAGTTCTAGTTTTGCTGTATGTCAGTCAGTTTGTTCAGTGTGCACTACGCATATTAAGTTCCGGATGATTCGACGTTACACTTAGCAGCAGCCAGATCTAATTTCTGTTGATTATGTACATTTCGAGTAGAATTTTGTTGTTGGTCAATAGCAGTGTTCGGGTTACTCGACTTAGCAAAATCGCTCGCTTGGAGTTGTCCGTGACGCTGAATCCTAGAATGATTATTGGTCATTGTCATACGCTTTTTTTAACCAACATGCTCACGCCCCTGTACAACTCCTAACGCCCAGCCCAAAGTTTGCGAAAAACCGGTAAAACCGTTAGGTATTGATAAAGCTAAGAAAAATACTGCGTCTGTAATCAGCATGTTGATTCAACCCCCGCCCCTGCCCCTTCCCTATACCAATTCTCAGTTCCGTAGTCAAGGTTTGCCATATCTCTAGAGTCGATATTGATCAAAAACGAGAAGTAGCCTATGACATCCGCCTTGCCCGATGTGTATGTATGTGCAGAGTTTGATCCGGAACTTCAAAAATGGAATTTTCCGTAAGGATCTATGTACGTACCATTTTCTCCCAGAATGCAGCGAGGGCGGAGTTGGTTGAGCATATCATCGGTGCTGTTTAAGTGTCGAAACATAGCATGAAGTGACTATCGGCTAACCATTGTGGCCACTCTAGCGCATAGGTGCGATAGTGTGAGAATTTGCTCAACTCCTCTTCACCCCTGAACCGGGATCAAGATGACCTTCTTCACCAAAAGCCGAGAAAGAAATCAACAGTGAGATAAAGCTAAGCAAAGGAGATATTTGTACGGGGATTATTTGTGTATCGGAAAAGGAGAAGATTTATAGGGATTCACGGACATCCAGAAGGAAAAAAATAGTAGCTTCTATAGCTGCACAGCAACGTCAGCGAGGAGAGTTTCTTGAAACACCGTTCCACTCTGGTTTCAGAAAGTAAATAGTTTGAGTCCATAGTTCATAGAATTACCTAGTGAAAGGTGTGTCTAGTGATTTCTGGACATTTACGAGTTTTCAAAACAAAAAATTCATAATTTTGTAGATGAATAACTGGTACATGGAAATAGCCATCATCGGAGCCGTCTCGTATTCCGCTTTCAGAAAATATATAGCATGTCTGAGATCCGTTTGAAGAAGTGCCTGGGTGAAGGGTGTGTTTAATGATTTTTGAAGATATTCGACTTTTTGACATAAAAATTCATAACTTTTGAAGATGAACATCTAAAACGCCGGAATGCTCGTTGGAACCGCCTCGTCCTCCGCTTTCAGAAAATATATACATTGCGTGAGGTCCATTAGAAAAAGTGCCGGGTGAAGGGTGGGTGAGACTTTTATAATGGTAGTGCTCAAATGGAGGCTTTTTTACCGTTGTGAAAAGACGTTTACTTAAGCATTTTCATTATAAAAGTCTCACCCACCCTTCCCCGGCACCTTTTTTAAACGGACCCCAGGCAAAGTATATATTTTCTGAAAGCGGAGACGAGGCGGTTCCAATGGTGACTATCAAGGCGTATAAGATGTTTATCTACGAAAATTATGAATTTTTTAACGTTAAAAACTCGAAAATCTCCAAAAATCACTAGGCACCAGTGGCGTACCCAGGATTTCGGCTCGGGGGGGGGGGGGGGCGACAAAAAAATTTTTCTAAAGAAGGTGCGTGGCGTAAGCCACGCACTCCGAAAAAATTTTTGGGGTGCTTCTCAAAATTTTTGCGGGTCTCCAACCCCTAAAATCTGGAAAAAGGGGGCGTGGCGTCAGCCACGCCCCAGAAAGAAAAATTTTTATAAGGCTAAAATGAATTTTTAAAAAATTTTAAAAATTATTTTTATTATTTTCAAGTGCAGACAAGTCATTTGCACAATTTTATAACCCATGTAAGTAACTTTCAAAAATTTCGCGACCCGTTCTTGGGGGGGGGGGCGCGCGCCCCCCCGCCCCCCCTCGGTATGCCACTGCTAGGCACACACTTCACCCAAGCACTTTTTTGTATGGATCTCAGACATACTATATATTTTCTGGAAGCGGAAGGCGAGATGGTTCCAAAGGCAACCATCTCCTCACATAAGATCTTCATCTACAGAAGTTATGGATTTTTTTAACCAAAAGTTCGTAAATATTTGGAAATCACTATCCACGAGCTTCGCCAGGCACTTTTTTGAAATGACTCCAGACAAACTCCCAAACAAACTATACAATCCCTGAAAGCGGAAGAAAAAATGGTTTTGAAAACAATTTCCTTGCTGACGTTGCTGTTCATCTACAGCAGTTATAAATTTTTTCTTTCAAAAATGCTCAAAAATTGTACCTCATTTCCGAAACAGATATTCTTGCATACACATCTTCTACTCTATGATATTTTTGAAAATAGACAGCTTTTGTAGGATTTCCAATCCTATGTCAATCTTCACCAAAAGGACAGCAAATGATGGTAGAGAATTGAAAATGATAAAACGTTGATTAGGGGAATGGTGAGAAAACACCACCACTCCCCTCCCCCTTAACCCTCCCCCCCTCCTTGGTCGACATATTCGATCAAGTAAAACACCTTTCCCCCAGGAGGGGCTGCGTCCACTGTGACACGCTTCACCTTGGCGGAGTCATTCTCACCTTATCGCACCTATGCAACCTAGCCATCGTTTTTTTGGTTTCAAGTTCGATAGAAAAAGATTTAGTCCAGGCTGCCGCAGTTGCTTAATTTTAGCGATTGCTTCGCTTTGACCATAACTTCGCTCAGAACAGTAGCAGCGTACATTTCCAGTCATGTGGGATTGTAATCCTTTCGTGTATTCATTCCGAAATAGAGCTTATTTTCATGCATTTATTAGGTGGGTCACAAAGTTTGTTCGCCATATTTTCAAATCATAACTTCCTTCCTTCTCGGTGAAACTCTTTGATTTAATTTTTTTGAAAGAGGAAACCTTTCTCTTTACAACAGTTTTTTTGCCATGAGATGGCTTGAGAAAGTTTGAGAGTTAGAAGCAATTGAATAAATTTACTTAAAGTTGGCACTTTGCAAGCTGGATCACGAAAAATTCCGGAAGTATTATTATATGATAGAGAGAATTATGTTCTTTACTATAATGCCTTTCTCACGAATTAAAACGGAAAAGATCGAAAATTACAAGCAAATAAAGAGAATTACTTCAGTTTTGCAACTTTTGAGTATTCTTAAAAAAGCCCAAACACGCCACAAAAAAGGCAGGAAAGCCAGGAACATGGGTCTTGTAAGTTTCTCTTTCTAGCTGAGCGAAAATCGCAGCAATTGAGGGCAATTTTGATTTTCGTAATATTTCCGGATTCTCGGGTCTGCGTTTTTCACGAAAATTAAAATTGCTCTCTATTGGTCCGATTTTTGCTCACTAGAAAGAGAAGGTTACAGAACCCATATCATGTTTTTTCCGTCCTTTCTGTGACGTTTTTAGGCTTTTTTGAGCATGCTCCAAAATTGCATAAGTAATGTAATTCTCTTTAATTGCTTATAACTTTAGACCTTTTTCGTTTTAATTCATGAGAAAGGTAATACTGTGATGTGTAAAATTTTCTCTATCAAATAAAAATACTTTCGTTATTTTTCGTGATCCACTTAAAAAATGCCAATCTTGAGTAAATTATTCAAATGCTTCTAGCTCTCAAACTTTCTCACGTCATCTCATGGCAAAAAAGCTGTTTAAAGAGAAAGGTCTCCTCTTTCAATTGAAAATTGAATCAAGGAATTTCCCCGAGAAGGAAGTTATGATTTTTTGAAAATCTGGCGAACGAACTTTGTGACCCACCTAATAGTTGAAGTAGCAGAAAAAAATGAGAAATTCCTCTACAGAACTAGCAACTGATCTGAATATACAGCGAATGCAAGAAAAGGACTATATAGTTTGACCATGTGTAAAAAAACACTTGCTTACACGAGAAAATTTTGAAACGCGTCAAAATGGTTAAATTTGACACAGTCGATATACTTTCACATATACGGGCTTCTCAAAGCTACGGATGCATTTGGATGAATGATATATGCGCATGTACTGGCATGCACCGTTCAACACTATCGTAAACCTTTACTAAAAAAACATCAAGATGTTTCGATAATTCACTTTTCATTATATGTATTGGACAAAAAAGGCAATACATTCATTGCAAAAATTGGATCTTGAGCAATCATATAGAAGATTTCACAGCTGAAAACTATGGAACTGAAGTGAGGATCTTACGTGAATTTTCTCGGTACAGTTCGTATCCGAGCGTCAGACTGCAGTAAAGGCATTCTCACATTTACTTTATTTCAAAGAGAACTACAGAATAATTTTTCATATTGTAGCATTGGTTTGAGCTCCGAATAGGGGTTTTAGCAAGAGCTCCTTCTGCAGAAACATCTTGAGCAGTTTTTGTGCGATATTTTATTTTCTATGTAAGTGAGCGCTATAAGGGGTGTCATCTTTTGGTAAGTCAGGCACATCATAAGTAGCAATTACATAATTATAGATTGGATTCCGTAACATGTATCCCAGCTATAAGTTCAAGTGTGCAACCATTTACAGATCCACATATTGTTAGCAGTCGTGGCCTTTATGACGCCAATTCTCGTGTCGGTAAAACTAGCACTACCTTTCAGTTTCTGAAAATCAGACATCTTCGTCTGTAACATGGTCATCTTCTCGGGCCAGGCGATTGATTATCTTTGTAGACTTTGTCTGTGCAGCAGCCTGCCTGTTAAGACAAACTTCTTTGCTACTTCACGCAACGTTC